GCCCGGTTTAGACGCCGTGCTTTTCATGAGCCGAACTTAATTCATATTTTACTCGAGTAAAATAGGCGTACCTCCAATTTTGATTTAGACAGGCGTGCTTTTCATGAGCCGTACTTAATAATTTGCGCTGCTTCACTTCGAAACCTGGGGCGAGTGACATTTCATAATAAGAAAAAAGGGTTTATCACGTACAATTTTGGCATTTCTGAGCGTCTACAGGTTTGCGGTTATTAAAAATTTCAACTGCTTTTTGAAAAGCCTTATTACTACAAACATAGCATAATGCCTGGATATAATGTGTGGGAAAACGAGACCTATAGGCTTCGGGCGAGTTTTTCCACGTTATTCGAGTTCTCCCAAACTACTACAAGTGTTTCTATAACTGTATGGGTCACACATAATAAATGTTTTATATTTATTTCCTAATATAACTAAAAAAAGATTTGTAGTAGACTCGATATATTTACAAATTCTCATTGCGTAATAATGCCGACCTTTGCTCCATCAATTCACTGCAAGAAACCCTTTTTGCCTTTATCAGCAAATATCGCTATAAGCCTAATTTCGCAACTTTTATGCAAAGAATCTAACGAAAGGTGTATCCTTTGCTACAAATTGACGTATATAAAGAAAAGAAAGGGAAATTCTACCGCGATATTTGCCGATAAAGCGGTATTAAATCACTACAGAAAAAATAGAACAAATTACAGAAATACAAAACAAGCCAGAAGCGGAAGTGGGAAGATTTTTGTATTTTGACTGTATAAACAGTTTCTTAATTTGCATTAAAATTGTTTTGTTTACGATTGTAAGTTTAGGCGGGAAATTTCCCGTGTAGAAACACGCTTCTCGAACAATCAACGCACGCGTACTATAAATGTTCTATTTTATCATAATTTATGCATTTGGTACGGCTCATGTAAAGCACGGCAGTATAAATCAACATGTGCTTCAGCCGTGTAGCACGCATGAACCAGGCAAACTTATTAATTTAGCCGTGCTTAATATTAAGTGCAGTGCTTAATTGATTTAGACGCCGTGCTTGTCATGTGCTTAATTCATTGTATTAAGTTCGGCTCATGAAAAGCACGGCGTCTAAACCGGGCCTGAGGGTAATATTCACCCAAGGGAAATATAATCACTTAGGGTAACATTTCGCCGAATCCCCCACGTAAGCGGAGGATCTAAAAATGATGCATGTATTATATACCGTAAATGAAAAGCCTCCTAGTTGAAAATGTAAAACGTGCTACATACCTTCGTGAATACGATGTTTTATTTTTTATTACCGCGGAAGTATTTGTCACTTTTCTTTCGAATCACATATCGCTTGGAATAATGATGAAAGCATTTATTTAAATTCGCTTCAAACATTTAAAAAAAAACCCGAGCTTTTTTAAAGTTTAAAAACTTATAAATTTATCATCTTTAGTATATTCTGGCTGTCATCTTGTTAATAATAATAATAGATGGTATATATATATATATATATATATATATATATATATATATATATATATATATATATATATATATATATATATATATATATATATATATATATATTATATATATATATATATATATATATATATATATATATATATATATATACATACCGGGTGTCCCAAAAAAAAGTACTCCTGTTTGATTCGTAATAACTTCTAAACAAGTAAAGCTTTTAAAGAGAAATAACTTGCATCAAATAGAGGAAGGACTAACTTAGATTTTGATATATTACAGTTGTATTTCACTAAAAAATTCACGGAGATATTAATGTTTAAAATCGGGAGCATATTTCTGGATGTGTCTGAAATATGCAAAAAACGGCGTATCAAATATTAATCAAGATTTGCCCGACTGAAACATGCACTATTACCAGTAAATAAATGACACTTGACAAATTGTTTATTATGAAACAAAGTATTATTATACAAGCAAGATTTATTCGTCCGAAATCCGCGTGTGTTCCTGGCACGAATACGTTTCCTTATTTCATGAGACCACTGCATCACGAAGGATCGTCATGGATCGTTCGTTCGTAGTTCTGAATTAGGGCATGCTGTCACAATGGAATTGTGAATTTTCTAACTTCACATTGAATGAATTTTCTAACTTCTGCAACGTTCTGAAATCTTGTTAAGAACACCCAAACTCTTTTGCCTTTCTTAATCTTGGCAAGTTCAGAATAAACTGAGAATGAAACAAAATCAAACCAGGCATACAACTCCATAAGTAAAGACATAACAAGCAACTCCCCAGAGACGTCCAACATTTTTGGAACAAAACGTAACAAAATAGTAGCGTTGATACTGTGATGTGTATTTGCAAAAAGCAATATTATTTCCTTCATTAAAGAATAATATTCATCCTGCTCTAACCGAGAAATAATCAACTTTGTTTTGAACCCATGAAAAACATAAAAAAATTAGGCTATTTAAGAAAAATTTAAGCGCCTGCCTTGCATGGTCTTTCATGTACCTTTAAGTTTGCAAAGACCTATTAAATACTTGCATAATTTCGAAAGTTCATATTTCAGGAAACAATGAGTTAAGACATACATGTAAGATGTCTAAATCTACGCCATATCTCTTACAAACCCTAGCGACAATTCGCTGAAATACAAGTTAGCCTGATATGTCATTAAGCAAACAAACGCTGGAGTTAATATTTGATATGCCGATTTTCGCTAATTTTAGACACATCCTAAAATATGCTCCAGATTTTGAACATTAATATCTCCGTGAATTCTTAAGTAAAATACAACTGTAACATATCAAAATCTAAGTTAGTCCTTCCTCTATTTAATGCAAGTTATTTCTCTTTAAAAACTTTACTTGTTTAGAAGTTATTACAAATCAAACAGGAGTACTTTTTTTGGGACACCCGGTATATATAAATATATATATATATATATATATATATATATATATATATATATATATATATATATATATATATATATATATATATATATTTCATATTTTTATGTCTTTGTTTGACATTCGACAAAGCAGCAACACTCGCTAAGTACGAGGCGCGCATAAGTCTATACAATGAACTATAGAGTGCTCAAGAACGTGGTACCCCGAACGAGCATAATATATGATTTCGATATTTTTTGTTGAGTTTTTTTCTCAAGGTCTTGCTTACTTTATTTCCTTCCACTCGTGAGCTCACTACGTGATCATAGTGATCAAACGTAGTGTCCAGGCCTTGTGACCCTGGATGGACACTTATTTTTATACACATATATATATATATATATATATATATATATATATATATATATATATATATATATATAACCGCTACATAACGCAACACGAGTGGAATCGTCAACGTGGGAAACCACAACATTCACATACAACATTGCCAGACTAATAGCTGGCTTTACGCATTGAAGGACTAACCTCCGAAATGCGAATAACATCATAACTTAACACGTCGTTCTCAGCTTGACCTTGCAGCTCAGAAGGTAGAGCATCGTTCTAGAAATGCGAAGGTCGCGGGTTCGAATCCCAGCCGCGGTCAAGTAGAATTTTCTGCTTGCCCGGTTTGGTATACACTCGTCTGAAAACAACTCATAAACCGCTACATAACGCAACACGAGTGGAATCGTCAACGTGGGAAACCACAACATTCATATATATATATATATATATATATATATATATATATATATATATATATATATATATATATATATATATATATATATATATATATATATATATATATATATATATATATATATAT